TGAGTAGTATGAGTAGTATGAGTAGTATGAGTAGTATGAGTAGTATGAGTAGTAGTAGTAGTAGGTAGGTAGGTAGGTAGGTAGGGGTCCCTTCAACACGGAAGACGCGGAACTGAGATCGGCACAGTGGTTGCGGCGAAATTCTTCACACCCGACAACACGTCCTGGTTGAGAAGCAAGCGTCTCGGTTGGGATGTGGATCGCTTCCGTAGAGGGTCGACCTTTGCAGAAACCAGATCTTCTATTTTCACATCGATCTTCCCCCTGCATTCCAATAGATCAAGAACTTTATACCTGGATCATTCACATACAGCTTGCACTGCCACGTCTTTCATTCAAGAACTCCCATCTTCTCCCAATTTGAGTAGCTTTGGACCATCCAACTCGAGGAACATCTTTTTGAGAAGAACACACATGGAAAGCCATCAAAGTCTATCACAAACACCGGCAACAAAAGTCTTTCAAACACGTGTGGATCATGGTTTTGCTTATATGTGGCCGTCAAAGTCTGTGGAACACCATGATCCACATCAAAACTTGCTGGCCTGTCTTTCAAGCAACGATTGTGTTCCACGTCCACACTTGTCTTTCGGAGGTAATCATCCAACACCGGCAAAAAACGCGTGGGGCGCGTGGCGCCTGCACAGTGCGTGTAGTCTGGCCTTGGTGCCCAAAAAAAAAAGAGTGGACCATCAGCTAGTTGTGGAAGTTATTTCTAAATGAGCGTCAGCAACCATGATATATAGTAACGCCCTCTCTTGCATCTCACCCAAAACGAGCTGACTCTTGGATCAGGGGGCCTTCGTGAACTGTAATGGCCACAAGAAAGAGCTCCCGCGTGTCACTCAGAGATCCCTGCCGCACAAGGTGCACGTCTCATGTTATTATTGAATTCATCATAACACTGACACTTGGTCACTATCCACGAGAAAGGGTCCATGTGCATGTGAACATACCCTTCAGACTTTGCCCTCATCATGGTTGAAAACATTGAAAACATAGTTATTTGATGTTCTTTGCTGCGCAGACCAGAACATGTTGGCTACAGCCCGACTCACTCATTTCGAAGTAGACAACCACCTGCTTGGTTCTTCAAGGCTTGTCTTCCTCAAACCTGACCCATCCACTTCCATGTGTTCGTCGGTGTGCTGAGGGCGGCACGCCCGTGTTTGTCTTGCGGCCAGAGTTCATCAAAGGAGGTACCCTTCCTTTGCCCTCCTGGTGACGGAATAAAAAAGCGCTGCAGCTAGCCACACAGTGATTCGACAACAGCCCATGTTATATAAACGGTACAGCTGGGGAAGCCCAAGTGGACAGTGGCTTCCGAATGGACTGGCATGAATATGGTGTTTGCAGGGTGATGCCTATCATGAACTCTACCTGTTTGGGGGGAAAACCTTGTTGGGGAATGCATGTTCAACCTCAGGCGATAACATTGTCAGCCACAAACACTTTCGTGTTTGGCACGGCCACGGACGACAGCTAGCAATGTCATTTTTGTTTTCAGATCAAAACACCGGTTTTCACATGATTTTGAAGCTGCATCGAAAAAGACATCTGCTCAGGACGCCATCTGCCATTGACCAGTGGACGTTGATCAGCGAAAGGGGTCATGATAGTCATGTCCCCAGAAACACTGGTCAGCCCCTGGGGCCAGAAAGAGCACCAGAAGAGGTTGTCTCCAAAAAAGATAGTGAATCCAGGGGACATCTCGAAGCGCGTCACATTGGGTATAATTTATGCATTAGGGAGAATTCCCTTGGCCCTGACTGGGTATGCTCGGGTCTATGATACGAACCTTCCAGGCGGTCGAACTGAAATGGTCCTCCCTATGTTGATACAGTTTCAGCTTCGACCTCTGCGCACGGCCTTTTTCGGAAAATTCCTAAAATCCTCCCCCTCTCGCCTTCATGCTTGAGGCCCAAGTGCTTCCCCACCACCTCCAAGACCTCAGAACCGGACTGCAGGGACTGCTGTTTGGTGTGGGGAATGATAGAGGGGTCAGACACCGCCCGAGGGTATTCCCTCTGATCAACATCAGTAACAGGGACTTTTCTCAGATCGACTGGAACTCAACGGAGAGACGAGGCCTCTCCCTGGAACTAACATGGAAGTGCAAAAACCCCAGTCATTTGTAGAGGAAAAAGGTCTTCCAAGAGGTTATGTTCCACTTTCATATTAGTTCCAGGGAGTGTATCGTGAACGATCTATTGGTATTTCCCAGAGTCGGCGGCACTGGACCCGAATCCAAGGTGACATTGTCCACTTCCATCTTAGTACCTGGTCCGTCGATCGTCTTTTCTCCGAGAGGATGGCCCAGAGAAAACACGGCAGACGTCACACGTCCCTGTTTTGAAAGGAAAAGAACATCTCTTGGGTGGTTGGTGGTCCAAAATAAGAGATCATCAAAAGGCTCTAGGTACTTATATATAGTAGTCTTCCTGTGCAATGACAAGGAAAAAGGTGTTGCAGGTCTATATATATATATTAATATAATGCTCTTGGCTACAAAACAACACATCCTGGGGCTTGTCGCGCCTCATCCGTCCTGGTCGATCACCGCTGAAAGGAAGCCCACGTCATGTTTGGAAGTGAACTGGAGAATCGAGTGTTTTCAGAAGGTGAGTGCCCTACAAGGTGGCCACCCAACAAACCAACCCAGAAAGCCTACGATACTACTCCTCGAGTCTCCCCCCGATTTGTTCGATGCAGCTCAGGACCTCTGAGCCACCTCAGGACCCTCTGCAGCTGTTCTTTTTAGGTCGACACCTTGGGATTTCTGTCCTGGGGCTCACCACCATCTCTGAGTCCAGGAACACGCCCACCATCGAGGCACCTGCGGGAAAACGAGATCAATGGCAAGAACCTCTACAGTAATTGTCACCTCTTTCAGTAGGATCAATCAAAGGATTTCACCTACCCCTGGCGGCCCTGGCCCAAAAAGACGCGTCCCAGCAGTTTTGGCCTTTTCTGAGAGTCCCCACAGGAGCGCGAGATGATCGACACTTTTTGGTCATCGTCCGCCTGAGCCTGCTCAGCCAGCTGCACAGCCAGCTGACGAGTGGCATCACAGATGTCAAACGACCCTCCGACTCCATGTTCCGAAGTGCAAAAACACATGAAAAACACACCCGATGTTTATACCTAGAGCCTGAGTGACCTCTATTTTGGACCATCAACCACCCAAGATCTGGTCTTTATGGGTTCCAGGTACAAAAAAAATGAGAGCATCTTCCCAGGACACCAGTTCCACACTCTTCCACCTCCGACTCCGAATGCGAAGGGCGACCGTTCCGCCCCAACACGGAGGTCGTCGCTGAACCTCTCGGAGACGGGTCGCATCCGCGCGGCCCCGAGGCCTTGTAGAGGTGCACCAGAACCGCATCCAGGAAGGGCGCGATGTGGCGATTGGCGATGACCTCGAGCAAACGACTTCTGCGAGCGAATCCGATTGTGGTAGCTTTCCTAGCTACCCCAAGGACAGAAATATTGAAAAAGCGTCCAGTGAGAGATACGAAGTGCTGATGATAATCATAGTGGCTCTCTAAATCGCAACAGGTGGGCAAAGCAGTGGATTGGCGCGTTTAGGACTTGGTCCTTTCAAGAGACTGCTGCGTAGCGAATCAGTCCGCTGATGAACCAGTCCTTCTCTTTGGGCAAAGACGGTCATTAGAGTTATATAACTCCACAACAAGGAGGGAATAATTCACGAGTTCAAAAACCCAAACCTGCTAGCGTCAAAGACTCCAAAGGGCTACACCGATTGCAGCTTGCTTCTGAGCTCCCGGCCAGCACCACCTGAAGGAGCCTCGCCTTGGGCGAGTACGGTGGAGGGTTCTCAGTTCCACAGACAATCTCAGAAGACAGAGGAAGAAAAAATAACACCCAACATCACCTAACCATCAGTCTAGATCAGAAGACAGAGAACCAAGGAATGGTGTTTGGAGGCGGATCTCATTCCCGAAACCCCGGCCGATCTCACGGCCCCCGACCCCTTTTTGGTCAGCGGCCAAACGTCCACATAAAGATCATAAAGCCCTTCCACTGAGAGATGCACTGCAGCTTCTCTGATGTCAGTGGTCCACTGCGTGATGTTGCCCAACACCTGGACAGCGGACGGTGCTGCGTCGTCGGTGCACGTCAGCTGTTCTCGTGCGCTCACCCGGTCGATCACCTGGTCGTCTAGATCACCGGTCTCTGGTGCCAGCGAACGCTCCATGACCCGCCGCACTACGGTGGCACTGCTTTCTCCTTCCGACCGGGGGGGGCTTTCGAGGAAAACATCGCCCGGGAAAAAGATGAAAGAAGCTCCCGTTTCTGCGAAAAATCCCGGCCCTTCTGGAAAAGGAACGACACCCAACCCTTGAAAACTGGAAACAGCGGAAGGACACCGCTGCGCACCGCATGCTGCGCCTGAGGAAGGATGTTGCCCAAGTGCATCTTCACCTGTGCGTTCCACGCACCGCGAGTTCCGCGCACAGCGTCCTCGACGTCCGCGAAGAACGTTCTCTGGCCGTGAGGGCCCTGTGAGGGCCCTGTGTTCTAAGAAAGTTCTCTTCGTAAGAAGCATCATATTAATTATGATGACGGCCACTTGTTCCATCTCCAGAAGGGTGGTGTTCATTCATCAACAGTATACATTACATTTACTAAAATCATATTATAAAAGCAAGACACATCCATAAACCAAGACCAACCCAACCAAATCATGACCTCCTGAACCCGCAACCCACGTCTTGCTGCGCCGACATAGGTGCTCGTCAGTGGTGCTGGTAGCCGGCCGGCCAGAAATGGCTCGGGCCTCGGCAAAGACCCGAACGTGAAGGTCAACGAGGCAGTGCATTTGCTCTATATATTCTTCAGTATGAACCAAAGGGTGGTGCTGGGGGAAGCAACTGACAACATACATCAAGAGTTAACATTGTACCAATTATGTATTTGGTTTCCACTGGTAGTGGTGCCCCAGCCTTCCATGCTTTCACACCAGTTTCGCAAAGTCTGACATATGTGATGCTTAACACTTACCTGCCCAGCTCCAAAAAAAAAAAACTCCCAAAGCGGCACCATCCTCCTTCGTCGCCGAGCCCAGCGGCAAAAGCGGGAGCACGCTGGCGTAATCGAAGGCGGCCACCACCTGCCGTCCGGCGGGAGCACGCGCGGAACCGCTGCGGCGGTGGAAGCTGAAAGAAAGGGGAGTCCAGAAAGGTGAAAAAGTAGCTAATTACTAGGTTGGAGGCCATCGCTAGCTGTAGTTTTAGGTGGTCACCTTTGTCAAAATGTCCATCGGAATTTAAAAAAAAAAGAACTTCTGAAACCGGCCGTCCGGTCGTCCGTCCGGTCGTCGGTTTCCCCCTTACGACGCCGGCACGTTCGGACCACGTCCTTCGATGCTTCGTCACGCCGTGCGCGTGCGTGGCGGTTTACTGCCGCGCCCGGCCTCAGGATCTTGGCATTTCAGCTTCTTCCGCTCCTCTGCTTCCTCGGTCAGATGTGGAGGAAAGGTGGACACCGAGACACCACAAGAGCCGGGCACCAAAACTCAAGAGACACCGAAGTTCGCCATAAGTCTCGGCGAGAGGGAGACACGAGACTTGAACAGGTTGAAAGCGGGTGAAAGCTACAGGTACGGAATGTACCAAAAAAGTAAATGTCTTGAAAGTAGTCATGTGAGTGAATCTTGGCTCCCAAAAACCAGAAAACCGCCTCCTCTCATTCATTCGGACCGCGCGCGAAGCTGCACCTCTGGACCGGTTCGGTCGACCGGTCTCCCATCGGTGTTCGAAACGGTCTGAAGCGGTCTGAAGCGCCAGACTCCATCTTGTTCCATGTATCCATCATTCCCCTGGCGGAGGTGAGTTCAAGTCCGAGTTCCGAACCATCTGTTCCGTCCGGACGAACCATCCATGTATTCCATGGTATCCTCCATCTTGTTCCCCTATATCTATCTTGTTTCTGGATGTTTCTGGATTTCGGCTAGTTTTAACTCAAAACTGAGTGGCCGAGGCCTGAGTCAGACAGAGTTGTGAAGCAGCGGGGCGAGCGGCGAGCGGCTACAAAGGGCCGTAGCTTCAGCTAAGTTGCAAATGGCACAAAGAAACCTTTCTCATCCTTGAGGTACCAAAATCCCCAACAGCGGAAAAGGGAAAGGTTCTGCGAAAATCAGGAGGGGAAGAACCCATGGCATTTAGACCCAAGAATCGCAAGACCCACACGCAATTGGTCTATAGCTGTTGTGTCACATCACTCTCCGCCTCTCGGGCTTCTTTGGCTTTCCGTCTCGCTTCCTGGGGTAGAAATCGACAGCTTCACACCGGTCCGCAGGCCAAGAAGAAGAGCATGGGATCTGTGTTCCGCTGGTTGGCCGACTAAGGAACCCCTCCGACTCCTCTTCAGACGCTCAAAACATCCGCAGAGTAAGAAGCCAAGATCGAAGCCCGCTCCTCTCGTTCTCGCTCCTTGGCCGCACGCTTCATTAAAACCTGACGCGGGCCACGCGGGCCACCACGACAATATATTATATCATATATATTATATTGTTGTGTGATATAGGTCATGACACTCAGTCAGTGGAAGGAAAAAGGAACATCCAACACGAAAAGAACGAGAAAAAAGAAAACGGTGTCGCCTCGTGATCTCCCATCGTGGAGAAACATCTGTCTCATTGAACAAATGAAGAATACTGGTGCAAAGATCGGGATTGCTCCAGTCACGTTGGAAGACTCCGGGAGAATTGCTGGAGGTTTTCACAAGTGTAGCAGTTGAAGTCTTCACAAAGAGGAGCGTACTATAATATGTACAATTGCATATTATTGAACTCCTTGAGGACAATTGTCCAGCCACATCCTAATGGATGTTAAATGGAACCAACTGCTTACTCCGCCAGAACTCTCCTCCAGGTGAAAGTGCTCCACCCTTCACCGGGTGTTCCTTTTCTGGGGAAAAGCGGTGAAGAGGACTGCAATGACCAGCAGCCTTCGCTGGTTTGTACGACTGGAGCATGGTCGGAACCGAACGAATAAAATCCCATGATGATCCAACCCAAACGCGCCCGCTGCGCGCACCGGAAAAAAGCCGGCTTGCTTTCACTGTGCCTCGTGCTTGAGCACGGCCACTCGTTCGAGACCACCCAAGGCAACAGCACCCACCTGGTGCCGAGGCCAGGCTTGGTATGGAGCAAAGGATCCCAATGGGAGGTCGCTGGGAAAACTCAGGTTGTAAGATCCCCGTCTTGCTGAGCACATGACCAGCAGGATGGTTGAAAGAATGTTTAGTTCCCCAAGGGGGATTGGACGACTGAGTATCCTCTTAGATGTTTGTGGCTCAGCTTTCTTTCAACCAACAGCTAATCTGACCATCCCAAGATCATGCACATCATTCAGCAACCAACTAAACCAGATAGATTCTAGACCAGCACCCTTGTCAACACCTTGGCAACTTTTTCTCTAGCTCTCCAATTGGCAACCTGTTAGAGGAGGTGCTTTTTCAGGCTCACAGGCGGAGTCTGGGTGCCAAAACCGCTTAGTCAAGCGACGCGCCTTTTCCCAGCCGGATCCATCTGTACACGCGGCTGATGAGCCCTGTCAGGCCAGCTGGTACTCAGCAATAAGATTGGCAAGTGACATCCGCTCGAGCCTGGGCGTTAAGGTTCCGCGACTGGGCAGTGGGGAGCGGGTCGTTGTTTCGTGATCTTGCTAGATGTTCAATGAAAAAGGCCTGTTCGAGAAACATCGGAGCGCAATGAATTTTGTCTTTTTGAATCATTGCCCAAAGCAATTGATTGAAGGGATCAAAGAAGCTCTGGCATCATGAGCCCATTTTTTCTCCATCAAAGATCAATTCTGCGATTGATCAAATCCTCCAAAAGATCTCCTCCCAACCTCCATGGCCAAGGAACTTCTTCAGAGTCCGAGCCCCTTCTCCCACCTGAGAGCTCCAACCACGTCTCCCCTGGCAGATTTGTGCCGCAGCCACCAGGACCTCCTGCATCACCAGCGCCGTTTCGGCCACGAACTGTGCTTCGATCCAAAGAGGCGGCTCAAACGCGGAACGGAGGAAGAAGATCCTAAGCTGACCCAGCAAAGCCTGGTGTAGTGTTTTGTATGACCAGCTCCTGTAAAATGGGGTCTTTGACTGGTACGGAAGGGATTCAGAGTAGAAAATGATTGGGAAACCCGAGCAAACCGTTTCTGTCTATGAATCGCAACGTGTTGTTCTACTGGTTTGCACCTACCAACTGTCTAAAAAGACCGTGTGTGGCCGCTGGACCCATTAAAAAGAAGAGAGTTTTCAGAGCCCAAGGCTCCTCCTCTGAATTGGGTTCTCTGGTTCTAACCTGCAGCCAGTCCCACAAATTATATAGATCCTTCAGCAAACAGACTGCAGAAAAAGACAAGCCAATGTTCAGCAAGGTCAGAACAAAGAAGGCAGGGAAACTCCGCTCGAATCTGTCTGGGCCTTTCAGAAAGGCATGCTTCTTCCCTCCTTCTCATGCTTCTTCCCTCCTTCTCATCCACGACCAAAACCCATTGCTTTAGCACCCATCCACAGCCCCACGGCCAGGCAACGACCTCCATTCGACCGTTCCACCAGTGGCGTGACCCTCCCGTCCACCGGAAGGACCCCTCGGGGTGACCCGGAAGGACCTCCCGTCCGCCAAACCTGACCGTTGAGGTCTCGGCCCGTCCGCAGCTCTGAAAAAGACCGTCCAAACACCTGGGAGGTCTCCAGTCACGAAGATCTTTGAGGCTGGAGGCTCAAGGCGCAGAGACGCAGCTCAATCCAAACCGCAAGCTTTGGCTCGACGCGCTGAACGGCACGCGCGTCGAACGGCGGCTGGGCACGGCAGCCGTGGTCCTTCTGTGAGAGGAGCTCCTTGGGCAGCGGCTTATGGCAGAACTCCAAGGCCATCAAAGCAACCTCCTTCTGCGAGCGAAGCGCCTGTGCGGAAGTTGAAAGGAAGAGGGGCTGGAAGTTGAAAGCTGTTTCGCCCCAGACTTATCCTCACCAACACGTAAGCTGCAAGCCCTGACAGCATCCGTGTTCAGCCAAGGAAAATGACCTGGCGATGGAAGAAAATTTTCTGGCTTGGTTTAAACAAGGAAGGACCCCTTCCTTAAAACTTAAAAAATGTTCACACCTTGGTGGGGGAAATCTCTGTAGAGCTTGGGGTCATCTCATGTCATGTTCGCCCTTTCCCAACCAGGCCTCTGGTATGAAGTCATACGCCAACTGCGTGTTCTTCAAGGCGGCCCTGACAATGTCCAGATCTTCTGACAGTTCCTTCTTGGCAAAGGCCAAGGCCATACCGCACTTCTTCACTGCCGCAAGCACTAGGCCTTTCTCCTGTTGCTGCTCTTCAACCACGCCTGAACAGGAACTGTGGTCTTCGCACGTGGACCACTGAATGAAACTTGGGCAGAAACAAGGTTGCACATCGTTGAACGTCAACGTGTGCAAGAAAATGTCGGTCAACGTGCGTCAAAGGTTTTATCAGGTCTGACAGCATGATCACGCATGATCCGTTCGAACTCCGTTCCAACTCCGACCCAACCGTCCAGCCGGAAAGCAGGAAAGAGGCCTAGCACCAAAGGATCTCTCTCCACCAGTTGAAGCCAAAAGTCAAGCGTTTGCTTCGACGTGTCCACGTGCTCGAGGATCTGAGGAGGGGACCAGTGGGCTGGGAGCTTGGAAAAAAGCCGGTCCTGATGGGTCTCTTGCGTCTTGTTGGAAGGACCTTTGGAAGGTCACACGTGCGACGTTGCGAAGTGAAAACATGAGTTGCAGGTTCTGGCGCTGGCCATGAGCAGTACAGCAAGTACTACCAAGAGGGGTGCAACCCGATGGGAAGCCTCCCCCGGAACATTTTGGTGGTTTTGCGTTTCGGGTCTTTCCATCCAACAAATGTTCCGTTGAAATCCCCCTTTCTTCGTCCTCCACGGGCCAGTCCCTATGCTTCAGTTTGGGTCCGCACCTCTCGAAGTTCGTTGGAGAAGTGCAGCGATGGTCGTTCGGGGCCCTGGCGAAGCGATGGTCGTTCGGGAGGTCGGTCGCTGGTCGAAGACGGGACGAGTTCCGGACGCAGAAGACGAACCGAACGGAGCGAGTTCCGGACGCTACGAGTTCCGGGGCGAACCTGGCCTTACTACGAACAAGAAGCGGTTAACTTCTATTAGAAACAAGAGTTAGAATTTGAATTTAATTTGAGATGGCACAATCCCGAAGGGTAGGATTTATATAGACGTTATAGACCCCCAAAGACATCTTGGGGTGCCAGTGCCTACTCTGAAATCAACACTCCTCATGGTTGAGTGGATGGTATGGCCCGACTCAGATTAGGATGACCATTTTCAATCTGAAGACCAAACAGGCGGTGGTGCCATCCACACAACCATGATGACTTTGTAAAGGAGCCTAATTCTGCTCTTGTTTAGAGTCGAAACTCGAAACACACCTGTCACAGGTCGCATGCTCGTGTCACACAATCTCGGAATCTCTCAAGATCAACATCATCCCTTCAATCTGTGCTCAAAGATCAACATACCATCCCGCTTTTCTTTCGGTTACGAAAAGACAAAAAAAAAAAAAAAAACATAAGAAAACAATTCCCTCCTGCTCCACCTGCTTCTTCCGTGCTCCGCAGGGCGACCTCTGTCGCCCGCCGCTTCGCCCCGGCGGGCGTGCGACGGGCCACGCGGTGAGGCCGTGGGCATTCAGGAGCTGGCGGACCTCCGGGTGATGTCTTGCAGCGCCGATGACGTACTGGAGCTCATTCCTTGGTCAGATTGGTTGGTGGGTTTGGTCCAACGGAATTGTCCAGGGCCAAAATCGGACACCGCATGCTGCTGCTTGCTGTTTCTCCATCCGAAGTCTTTTTCTCGTGGTTTCTCTACCCCCTCTTTTCGGTCTGCCGCTCACGTATGGCGGAATTGTCTCTTGCTTGATTCACTTCGTGTGATGGGAATGGATGAGAAGTGTCCTATGTTGTAAGTGATCACTCTGTCAGCTCCTGTTCAAGTGATCCCAACACCTGGCTTTAGCCCAAGCAAATGACCACACTCGGTATGAAACCCTATGTCTTTTCTCAATCCTTCTGGACCCAACCCTCCAAAGCATGAGATCGGTCCCTTAAGCGTCAAGTCTCTGAACGTTCCACGCCTGCTGGTGCCACAGCGCAGCAGCGACCACCTCCCCATCCGCTCGCAGCTCCTTCGACAAGTTCGCCAGCAACGAGCCACTCGTGGCGAGGACGGGCGCCGCCGCCAAGGCTGCGAGCACGAAGACGCGATCGGCACGGAGCTCCTGGTTCGATGGGCGCAAGACGGAGGCGTCAAGCGGGAAAGAACAAAAGCCTGGCACTGGCGTGCAATTGGGGTTCTGGTGACACTGTGACACTGTTGGTCTCATGTGAGTGGTTCGAACCTACATGAACCTACCACATGGATGTCTGCTGTAGAGGATAGTCTCTCAACATCGGTGAAGTCTTGTGGGAGGTATTCGACCTCAGAACTCGAATGGCTCAAATCCCCAAGACTGCGACCATGGCCAATGCCTCTTTTTTCACCCACCACACTGTCTGACTTCGGGGGAGTTTAACAGATTCAGTGTCCTCATGGCCAGTAGGGCTTGGCGTCCCTGATTCACATTCTTTCGGACCGACTTCGTATGCCAACAAGATCCAAGGGGACCATAGGACCTCATCGTTAAGTCCTTCAATCACTGGACCTCCGTTTCTTCGGGCGCAAACACCCACAAAACATCCTTTCAACCTCTTCCCAAATGGCAACACCTGTGACGCAGAGCTATCAGCTTTCACAGCTATTAGCTACTAGTATCCAAAAAAGGAAAACTTCCAAAACATGTCAAGCCAATCTCCTCTGAGACATAATTCAGGTTCAGCAAGTCTCTCTGCACCGCCCAGGCCGCAAACTCCCGGTCACCCCGCAGTGCGGAGCGATCGGCGAGGGAGCGCCACGCACCCGGATAGCTCTCGATCGCGATTCGCACCAGCTGCGGGTCGTTCTGCAGTTCCAACGGCGCGAAGCGGAGCCAAGCACCATCCTGGCGGGCGATGGTAAGCACACCGTTCTGCAGGGCTTTTCATGGGGTCGTGTGCTTGGAAGCCAGGTGGGAGTCTTGGAAGGGAACAAAGTGAACCTAGGTTGACTCATGTTCTTACCCCATCTTACCCCCTATACTCATTATAGTTGTATCCCCAAAAACAGGAAGAAAAAAGGAAAGGGAAGGATTGTCAAAATGAACTCTCCTGCCATATGCTGCTATGGGAAATGGACTGGCCACCGAAATTGTGGGAGATCGTCCATATGGGCGAAGTCCGCAGAAGTCCTTCAGAAGTTGTGAATCCAACAAATCCCGTCCTGTTTCACCAAACAAGGTCCAATCACAGGACATCGCAGCACATCGAGAGCTTTGGTTTGCCAGGCTTGGGAGCCTTAGAACTGTCCACCTTTCACGTGCCAAACCCGCGCATGAACGCTTATGGCCGTGCCCTGGAACCTGCCGTATAACGCGCTTAACGCTTATTGCTGTGCCGTAGTTTGATCGCTTAACGCTTATTGTGTTCATGAGTTCACAACTGGTCATTCGTTGGTCATGGATGTCTTACTATCATTATTATGGACTTCATGATGGTTCGGAATGTGGTGTTCCTGGATCTTGATCAACTACATCAATTGATAAAACTGATCATAAGATTACTCGAGGCTCCCATAAAATGCAACGTAAGTGTGGTCGGTCGAAGTGTTTTGAGATTCTTTGACCCAAACACTCCCTGTCTGTAAGATATTGTCTACATTGCGGTGGTTGACGGGTTCAATGTAATTAGGACAATATACCATACATGGAGTGTTTGGGTGTCATTGGGTAAAGTATATCTTGTGGCCTGTGGTGTTTGGAGTCTGCCCCTTTTTTGCCAGCGCTCCTCCTGCAGAATCAGGCTCATGAATTCCCGATCCCAAGCCAACCTCAGCGTCCAAATAAATCGGGTCCGAAGTGCTTCGGCGTCATATATAAATTAATGTGAGGACCTGTGGGTTCATCTCAAGTAAACGTTGAACATACAATATCTGAAACCACCACCAAGCTTTGGTTTGATGCAGACTTGAACTGCTGGACTGCCAGATTTGCACCAGAATCTGACTCCCGACCACTAGCCGCCGGATTTGCTTTAAGCATCTTTAAGGAATCCGTTTTCTAGTTTCCCAGCCAGCGGAAAGACTGGTGTCTGACCGAAGTCTGAAAGGGGTATCTCCCCATCGCTTGCTTGTAGCTGCTCTGTCTCTGAAAAGGGTGGGATCTGCCCGGCTCCGCAAAGGCACCCCGAGTGCCGAGCCGGAAACCTTTGGACACGCCGGATTAGGGACCCACCCACCATCAGCCAATCTGAATGTTTAAGCGGGCATCCCCGAGTCGTACCAGCGGAAGTAGGAGTGGAACTTCCTCCCAAGTCCTCGAGTGCTGGCTGCCTGAGCTTGCCGATGGAACGTGAACCAGTGATCTCCAAAGGACCGAACTCGGAACCCATCGTCGGTGGGACGTGCAAGACTTGAGGGTGAAGAAAGCACACAGAAACATCTCCCAAACCTTCAAAGGGACCTACCAGGCATGAGAAGTTCTTGGACTGAAGGTCCTGGCTGATCTATCTGATTGCCTATTACCTACCAGAGTTTTGATCTGGACTCAATTCCCATGTGCCAGAGTCTTGATTGTAACTCAATTCCATGGTAAACCCTGCGATATCCTACCACTGGCAAATCGGCAGATGTGCCCCAATGTCACGCGTCTTGACTGGTCATCTCCAACTCGTTTCTGGACACCAAACGGAAAAAAATAAAAGAAAACGGGAGAATCCAGCACTCAATGGATTGGTGATAGGAAAAATCTACAGGAAACCGTGCTGGAGCATTCGCCCCCAAACAATGGGTTTCCTGTGAATTTACCTTAAACCAATTCCGAGGTCACACGTTTTTGAGGGGGATTGTTGGTGAGAACCGCTGCAACAAACGCCCTACCGCCGGTTGGATCTCGACGACCAGTCCACCCTATCGACACGGGTCCCCGAAGGTTCGGGGGAGCAGTCTACCCAGCCAGGGCGAGAAGGGGAGGTCTCGAGGATGTACTCGGATTTGCTGTCCAGGAGCTGGGAAAAGAATAGAAATGATTCCCCAGGAGCGGATTCACTCATAGGGAAACTAAAACAATCACCTTAAGCCCCCTTAAGCAAAGCGTTTGACATCCCTCTTCGTCTCCCCCTTGCGTCGAATGGGGCCCCTTCCGTGCTTTCGCCATGCGGGTCCCGGTCACCCGCAGCGCTTTCAGAAGGAAGCTTCGGTCCGTGTGCAGCCGCCCGGTGGCGTAGCGGCACAGGGCACTGTCGAAGTCCATGGCGGCGGAAATGATCTCGGCATCGGACCGAGCCTCATCGCCTCGGAAAGGGCCCGGGCCCAGGGGGTGGTTTTCCGGGGCCTTCAAAAAGGAGTCATGGAGAGAATATATCATATTATATATAATATTATATAATATTGTATTATATATATAAAGACCATGTTTGGGCTCCCACAGGTTCCAAGAATCTTGTCAATTATACATTTACAGCAAACCCATTCACCATCTCCAACCCAGCTTTGATCCCCCAAAAAAACGACTCGAGAAATGACCAAATGTCCCCCCCTTCCAGATGAAGACCATTGAAGAACTATCGGAAAAAAAAAAAAAAACAGAATCGAAGCGAACCAAACGGTCCGACCCAATCCATTCCGCGACTGATTGGAAGCCTGGAAGTGGGAAGATAAAGCTCAACTTTGGGGCCGTGAAGTGCTTGTATGTCAGAACTTTACAGGTCAAAACGATATGTTCAAAGAATGATATGACTGTGCAGGGTGAGATACTCATTCATTCTCTGACAGCGTAAAGTCTGGCAGATATACTTACTCCGAGATCAGTGGAGCACAAGGAAACTGCTTCCTTGCAAACATCTGGCTGTCGCACCCAGATGTCGTGCCTCTTCAGCACTTGGAACAAATGATCCAAGTGGAGGAAACACCGAGATCTCCATATGTTCCGCACCACGAATTCTGCGCAGAGGGCAACTGCCACGAAGGAATCCGCCCCGGCCTGCGTACTTGATGGCTTGTCCCTCGCTAGCATTGATCGCAGCCAACACCAGCTCCCGGTCATTCCGCACAGCATCTGAGGCTTTCCGCAGGCGCCGCCAATCCTGTTCCACCTCTCAAAGTCATGGAACAGCAAAGGGGGGGAAGAAATAGAACAGTCCCTTTTCTGCCACATGGAGATGTCCATCCCAAATACCTCTATCCAACATGGCGGTGGATTCAAGACTACTCTTTTGACTACAGACAGGAAATAGTCACTGTTAGTCCACTTCCATGTTGGTTGATGGTACTATATAACCCAAATCGGCACAAAAAAAGAAACAACATGAAAAATACATAAAAGTACTACGGCTTTGCGCCTCTTCGATCCACTTGTCCGTGCGGATGAGGGTAATCTCCCCGACTGGAGTTTCGGCAAGTACCTCCTGGAGGTTCTCGGTATTTTTCAAGATCTGACCCGCAAGCAAGAGCTTCTGCAAGCGCGAAGGGATCTTCGCTCGACGCTCGATCACGTCCTGGACCGAAGGGGCGCGAAGGGCTTTCGTCGCCCTGGAGAACCAGTGAGGGACGGGACAGGTGCTGTGCAGATCAAAAACATCCAGGTTCCAAAGAGTGACACGAAACGTTTCGATGGGATCTCCCCATGGGCCCCATGGATCCGTTTTGTCGAATGGGCGATCTGGCCAGAGGTTTGATGGTTTTTCCTCGTAATACAAACCAGGGTTTTCAGGGTCATTTCAGCAGGCTAGTTGTTCGTGCAGCGTGCACCGCCTGGTTAGAGCATATTCTGCCAAAACGTGACGCAGCGACGTGAGCCGATATGTGACGTTGATGTGACGCCGATGTGCCGCGACGTTGATGAGAATGGGCCGTCCAGGTCTCGCCCCTCCAATCGCTGACGTTCTGGACGATGTGATGAGCCGGGCATATCGAAATCCATGTGATGATGTTGAACCCGTGTCATTCACAACACTTGAGCATCATCCCTGGTTCTCGGTGACCCGTTCAAAATGAGGTGCCCATTGTCTGACTATAGCTACAACTAACGTACATTTAGCAGTGAGGGATAGTTTGTCAACCTACACTGTGTAACCCTGGATGGTTGATACTGATTCTCATACAAAATCCAAAAAACAAGCATTGCATTCACGATTCCAAGCTCATCACTTGGCGATGTGGAGCCAACGACCACGAGAGGCCTTCGGAATGAGAGGTGATCATGCGTCAGTGCGAGTCGCCCCGACGCAGCGGCACAAAGCCGGGAGATAGATCGATGGCAAATCGGAACTGAAACGGGTGCCGTCTTGCGGCATTGGATGCTCATGATCCCTATCTAGAATGGCATCTAGCAGACATGATAGCAAATGATAGCAGGGATTCCTTGGCTGGTCTCAATCAGAATCATGGCTGGAAAGTGTCGCCATCTTGCTGCATGCGGGTCACCCTGCTGCATGCGGCTCACCCTGCTGCATGCGGGTCACCGGCACCCCCCTGGCTTCCTCCGTGTAGTTCGTGCGCCCAAAAAGACCCCTAGAATGATTGCTCATGTACGCAGACGCTTGATGTTACATTATTTTACATACCACCCTGGCATTTGGAATTGCAGAAGCTCTTCATCTTAGGGGGGTGAGATATATCATGAAATATCATCAACATTCAACATCCAACCTCATACAATCCACTCACTTCTATCGTGAACTCCTGCACCACCTCGCACGCACCGAACTCCTGGGCCCCCTCCGTCTGAAGCTCCCCATCTGCGCGACGCGGCGCGTCGCAAACCCCGTCGCGATCGCGGCGATGCTCGCATCCTTCAGCTCGGAGAGCTTCTGGATGCCTTCCATCTCGACCACACACAGCGACTCCCCAGCCAGGCTGCACACGGTCAGCTCCATGGCACGTGCAGCTCCGGGTGAGCGCGAGGGGCGAGGGCGACGCGAGGGCGACGCGCTGAACGGAGTCGTGAGCGCACACGAAGAAGCGCGGCGCAGGGGGGCTTGGGCGGAAAAGGGGCGGAAGACGAAGGACGCGCCGGCGGGGTTGAACGTCGGCCATGGTTGGGGGGAACGTGGCACCAAGAGTTCTTGCTTGGGGGGTCCACCAATTTCAAGACATGCTCATGACTCATGTGTGGAGCCATCTCCTATGCCTCATTTCCTCAAAGACTGGCCCATGATCTACTTCTCATGTCTTCACGCCAACGCAGCAGACAAGGCATGAATGCTTGGAGATTTCAGCTGAGGCCCCTTTTCCACCTTAGCCCTTCAGGTCTTTCAATCCACATGTCCTCCAATCAATTACACCCACCGGTTCCGCCAGAACCGGCTCCATGTGCCGCGCACGGTCCGGCCTGCTCCGCCTCTTCGTCCGAAGCGACACCTGCCGAACTTGGGCGGTAGCAGAGGCCGCACGGAACAGGAGAGGGGATATAGAGGCCGCAGCGGACAAGGCAGGTAAGAGAGGCCAAGGCCAACGCAGGGATCAGGGTGGGAGAACCCCAGTGCCACTTGGAGGGGGTGGATTTACCGATTTACACACCTCAAGTGAGTCAGTGGGCAATCGTATGGAAAATTCTTGTTCGGTGTGTATTGGCAGCCGTTGATCTCTTAAACGTCTATGGTCAACCATCCTCGCCCGGAATAGCATGTTGTTCAACGCAAGATCTAGGTCTTTACCTCTCCTGGTCCATCTTTCTGGGGCTATGGGCCTTCTCATTGACCCCTGCCCACTGGACCGCGCCATCGGGTTCGCCATCGTGCGAACTCGGACCCCGCGCCGAGCAGCAGAATCAGGAGCCGCGGCTCGAACTTGTCGAAGCCTTCAGGCCTGGCGATCGGCCGACGTGTTGGAAACACCGATCCGACCTGTCTTGTCCGTCCGTCAGGTGTCTTTTGGGAGTACGAAGGGACGACGGGTCCTTTTTGGGAGTACGAAGTGTGTTAGTTTCGGGCATTTTGGGAGCCATGAAGATGAGGTCCTTGAGCTACTCCGGGCATCGTCGATTGAACCGGTCATTCCAAAGAGAGCCTGGTGAGCTGATGTGAACTGAAGTTATGGAATTTTCCAGAATCGGGGACTATCGCGTGTGAGCCCTGAACTGTGGGGTGTTTTGTTTCAAGTGTCTGTTTTTAACTACACCAATGCCCCCCCCAAAGACCCCAAAGAAGAGGACACATGGAGGCCCTGGTTTCTGTTGGCCTACCTCAGTGAGACTCGTGGGAGACTCCTGAGTGAGGAAATGTATGCACAGCAAGTTCCGGTATGCTGAATGGTGTCAAGAGACACCAGGACCCGCGTGGGATGGGATCGGGAAGACGTGCTCCACAGCCAAGAAGAAAGCTTGTTGCAGTTGGATTAGAAACCAAACAAGTCTGCAGAATACATCAATTTAGCACATGATTGATTCATGGCCATTCATTTCCCATGACTCACTTGAAAAGCGCTGATCAATGGGAATACGCATCAAGTCAACACCAGTCACTTGAGCACTGCGAGCATTCATGATGGAAGCCAACCCCCTGGTACGGCATCCGAACGGCGTCTACTCCCTCCCAAAGGACCCACGGCCATCCTCGGACACGTCCGACTCTCGCCCCCAGGACCCCATTTCCCCTGCGGCCCCAGGCCCATCATCATCAAAACTATTGCTCGAGGGTACTCGAAAGTTGAGGCCCTTCAGCAACCACCTGCAGGCCCGAGTGAACAGACAGCCCTTCCCGGGTGCCCGGAGCGTCTCGTTGTTTTGAAGGATATCTTGAGAAAAAAAGAAGCCATCAGAGCAAACTGGACAGCCAGTGGTCTGGTACTTGGTCCAACAACGAAGTATGTGATTATACACTGATCTACGCACACCAAGAGTACAGTAGAGCTAGTGCATATGGCTACAGGGTTGCTTGATTAACACCTCGTACCCGCCCTGGTACATGCTAAAATATCCGCTAAAATGATCAAAATCAGTATTTCAGCAGGGAAGTTCGCTTATAGAGCGGCACCCATAGTTTGCTTGTCATGCAATCCAAGAAAATCATCCTTTGCCCCCCTTGATCAGGGCACGCTCCCTGTTCTTGCTCAAACCCTACCCAATCGGCCGTGGGCCACATCACATGTCTATGAACCAAGAATGTGAAAAAGAAACACCCTGAAGACAGTGCAGCCTCAAAATATGTTGGTCTCCTAACACCCCGAAGCCAATCGCAAAAAAGTATGTATGATCCAAACCGAACCTCAGACCAACTGGATCAAGGTGAAACGATTCCCAGTGAAACGATTCCCAAGGAAGCTTCTAGCTACTAGTAGCGTTCTTGTTACTAGTAGCGATGGCCTCCACCTAATAGCGTCGTTGCTACTAAAAGCCTCCCGTGGGTGAATATCTAAGGCTTCTAAGGAATCACAGATCACATTTCCTCAGCTGACAACTCAGCTGTGCTGCAAGTAGCTCAGTCTGTAGTCCCCAAAACATGGCTGTGAAAACGAGAAGACCAGCCAGGCAAGTGTCGCCTGTTGACACCTCGACCACCTCACGGCCATGTTCCTCGACCATCGGAGTCAACTTCCCGGCCTCTCCAGCGTCTCGGCCAGGCTCTGCCGGACGCCAGGAGTCCTGAAGCAGGAGAAAAGCTCGCAGAATAGGCAACCCATTGGTATGTGCGCAGTCACCATCGCTAGTAGGTTGGAGGCCATCGCTAGTAGGTTGATGGTCTTTAGGCGACAGAGACCGAAACGACGAGGAGTTGGCCAGGGACATATGAAAAACGGCTCAGAGATGCTCACAGAGTCATCCAAATAAGGGGAGAAGATCTTGAAATTCCGGGGAGCCTGATGCTCGCAGTATGCTCACACAGTCACACTTCGTTTTTCCAGACCTGGGGCTAAGAGGTTTCCGCACACCGGGTCCTGTCGTTGAGCAGGACATTGAGATGTGGCAGTACGTCCTGGCAGGGGCTGAGTTCTGCAGTCGCCTGTGGAAGGTGGGTTTTCTCAAAAACCGGCGGGTGACTCGAAACGGGTGTGCGACAAAATGCCATGTCCGGTTCTAGTAACATTGCTCAACTTCACCTCATCAATCCAAAGAAGCTAAAATAATGTCATCAGACCGGAATCAAACTGCTCCGAAGATGGCGACCACAGCGGTGGAACATGGTGGAACCGACTGATCGACATTGGCCTAGGGCAACACCACCCACATGTATCTGAATGATCAGCGTTTCTTGATGGAGCTGCATTATGCTATACTTTGGGTGACCTTGAAGCTTTGCAATTTCTACAGCGCATCTGAAACTTCCTTTATTATGACATAATCACTAAATGATGTATCTATGTATTATGTAGTACTGCTCTCATTTGCATCAGCCAATCGTTTTAGTCACCACATGCCTCGGTAGAAGTTCCCTCAACGACACATAGAGGATGTTCTCAAATAGGGCTCTTTTGAAAGCCTTCGGAGCCAAATCTCCAGCTACTCAGATTGAATCACCTGATAGAAACCAAATGAATGTCCCTTCAAGAATCATCAGACTGCTACCACTATACCAAATATCTCCAACTATGATCTCGCCCTAGTCTTCTACCCTCCTTCTCACCCATCCATTTCTCTTTGTTGACAGTTTCCTCCCAATACCCGCGCTCCTCCATGTGATCCATCATCGGCGCTTCCTGTAGAAGCAAGGCCCCGATGCTCTCCAACGTCGCCCGCCGCACCTCCAGCGGCCAGCGGCCGTGGGGAGTCCAGTGCCATCCGGTCCCCTGGAGAAGTCCAGTTCGACTATTCGACTATTTTTTGGTGCCACCAAAGTAAAGGAAAAATCCTTTGGGGGTGACCTGAAGATCGTGTTTTTATCGTCTTGGACTTCTAGGGTATCTATGACATCGAAGGGGGCTGTGAGAAGGGAAATAGGACTAGCGCAATCGAAGATTAATGAAGTGTTGCTTGATGATGGGAAGGGTCACCTGTTGGTTATAAAGATCAGGGACAAGGTCATGAAAAGCCAGCAGTACACGAGATCAAGTTCACTCCACGCAACTGGCTAACCAGATCGATCAGTTCAGTTGCGTGAGCATCCGATGTTGCCACCGCACACACCGCACACCCCAGCAGGGTCTCAAGATCCGACCTTCCACTGCTGATGTTTCAGGTTGGCCAACAGCGACGCGACCTCAACGGCAAGGGACGGGTCGGAGTCAAAGCGTTGGAGGTTTGTGGCTGCGGTCTGCTAAGGTCTCCAAGGTGGTCTTCCGATGTTTAACCTTTTTTCGACCTCCTCCTTTCCCCTAGCGGCCTAGCGATCGTTTGGAACCCTCTTGAGCCAGGACTGCAGAGGAGGCTAACTAAACCAGTCGAGTGGCCAAAGGACTGCAAGCTCTGCTGACCCTTTCAGCGTCGAAATATTGGCTCACCTGGCCGCAGGGGCGATGCAGGGCAGGAGAACCACTGCCCCCGGGGACTCTGGGAACCGACGAAGAACGGGTCCGGATCGTCTCGGCACTGTGTCCCCGACTGGAAGCCGACTGGGCGATCCCAGGCCTTCTTGGTGATCTCACAGCATTCCTTCTTGGCGTCCGGGCAGCTGTCTGTCAACGCCTCAACGTGTTTTTTCAGAACGCGGTAGGTTTGGCACACGTGGAGATGCCCGCGGCGGAACCCGCGGAACGTCCATGCCTTGGAGAGGGCATCTAAGATGTCGCTGGCAAAGGGATTGAGGCGCTCCTGATCACTGAGAAAGTTCCCACCCAAACGAAGAGCACGAACGCCCTGTGGACGGGCGCGAAATCCAAAAAAGAATTGCCCATTTATTTGCCCATCTGCCCGGAACGGTGGTGCTATGTGCTGCTGGTCCCGCATCAGAGTGGTTTGAACGACAAGCAACGCTAAACCATCTGTGCATATCTGTGCCCTGGT